TCAATGTTAATTGACATATGCAAAATTGGTGCCAAACAAATCCCCTCATTACATAGATGTGGTAAGCCAAAGAAAATTAAATAGCAATACTCTGGGAAAATATGTACTTCTAACAAATCCAGGTCAGGAGCCTGTGGGTTCTGCATTGAAAGCTCATGATTTTTGTTGCATGTACTATAACACTGCTAGTGCTAAGTATGCTGTCCACTCTTGGTCACTGTTATTACCCTGGGGCCTGAGAGTGCTTTACTAGCAAATTTAGAGCACATCAGCTCTCCTGCACTTACCAACTAAAGATCTTTCTGGTTAATCTTTTATATGCCTGCCATAGTGATGTTCCTAAACTAATATCTCATCTTGTTACTCAGCTTTGTCAGGAAGTAAGCATCTACCAAAGAATAAAGTCCAAAACCTCTAAGCTGTTCTATAACACTGGTCCTCTACACTGTTCCCCTTACCCAATCATCAGACTTAGAAGAATCTGACCCCAGTAGAGTGCTTAGGCCACCATTACAATTACCTGAACAAAATGCCTGACTCTTAAATTTCATTTTTAAGAGTGGGCTGAACTTGGAGGACACTTGTTCCCCTAGATATCTTTTGGAACTGCCTCCTAGAACTCTGCTGATGGAACTGTGTTGTTGGAACTGTGCTGATGGAACTCTTTTTGGACTTCTGTCTGGAACTTTGGTCAAGTCAAGCACTGCTCATAATTTTATTCACAAAATGGTTTCTCCAGCTTCAGTTCAGGAAGTAAAGTTTGGCCCCACCATTATCTTAACAGACCATCCTGTCTTTTCACCCCTAGTTCTGGAATACCTCATTCACCCAAGGTCATGTGTCCTTGCCAGTCTTCACTGTGTGCGATGAAGATGGGCACACAGTCTTTCAACACATTGATATGTTAATTTTCAAGCGTATCCACACTCATCTTCTTGGGTGGAGTACCAAATTAAGGTTGCCAAGGAAATGAGGTCAGGTGCCCAGGTCACAAGACACAAGAGTACATAGTTTTGCTGGTGTTAGTTAAAAGTCATTAGTCCAGGGGGCTAGAGACATAGCTCAGTAGTTAAGAATACCGGCTGCTCTTGCAGAGGATTCAAGTTCAATTCCCAGCACCCACATGGTGGCTAACAACCATTCATAACTCCAATTCCAGGGGATCTGACATTCTTTTCCAACCTCCATGGGCATTGCATGACAAAGGTGCACTGACATACATGCAGGCAATAAAATCATGCACATAAAATAAAAATAGCCGGGCGTGGTGGCGCACTTGGAAGGCAGAGGCAGGTGGATCTCTGAGTTTGAGGCCAGCCTGGTCTACATAGTGAGTTCCAGGCCAGCTGCGGCTACAGGGAAACCCTGTCTCAAAAAGACATAAATAAATAAATAAATAAATAAATAAATAAATAAATAAATAAATAAATAAATATTAAAAAAAGATTTTAAAGTCCTTAGTCCAGATTATATCCATTTTATAAGTCATTCCTACACTAGAGGATGCCTCTCAATCACTGTGCCCTACCCTCTACAGCCTTCTACCTGGGCAAGTCCTGTACATCTCCGCACTTCAGTGCTGCATCACCTCCTTTATGAAGGCTTTCTTAATAGGCTTTCTTCCCTCTGAACCTCAGTTAACAAATCAGCAAGATATGGATCACAATTCCCACACTCACCCTTAACTCAAGGATCACATGAAAAATGACTGAAAGTTCTCCAAAAAGTACAAAACACTGTACAAAGGCCAACTTATACTATTGCAAAAGTTACTTGTAAAACACTGCTTTCTCTTTAGAAACAATTTAATACTTGTTATGATTACAAAATTAACAATTACAAATTAAACCATTTCTCCTGTTTATTCATTGCTTAAATGTGAGCGAAGCCTGAATGGTGCTGAGAACTGTGCTCAATTGAGACACAGATTAAATCAGCTCTACACAGAGGTTATGAGAATGATCTTTGCTCCACATGATTTCCAGTCTCAAGATTTACATTTCTTTCTTTTCACTGATGGAATAGTCTTCCTTACAACTCTAATTCTCTCTGACCAATAAAGTTTGATCTCCTTAAGTGGCTTTTTGCTCTAACACCAAGTCTTTGTTACTTTTTGGCTATCTAATTTGTAGATTGATATACCCACTCTTTTGGGGACACAGTGACAATAAAAGATAATATTTGCTGTTTTCTCTGTAGCAGTCACTCTAAAAAAAAAGTTATTACATTTTATGTGTGTGTATGTGTGAGACAAAATCTCATGCAGTCCAGGTTGGCTTTGAACTTACTATATAGTCAAGACTGGTCTTGAATTCCTGATTTTCCCACCTTCACCTCCCAAGTGCTTGGATTACAGGTGTGTGCCATGATGCTCACATGCTCAGCTAATTTGGTTTTTTCTTTCTTTCTTTTGGTAAATGTACAGTTGCTATAGAAAGTGTTAACATTAGACAAAACTGGACAAGATGTATATAGAACTGTATTTTGTAACTTCTGCAAGCCAAAAATTACTTAAAAATTAGAAGTTTATTTTTAAGACGCTTTAGTTTGAGATTAATTTACCAGGCCTATTGAACTGATCAACTGTATAATCAAACAGATATATTTATTTTTCCTAAAATTATGGAATCCATTAAAAGAAAAAAAAACTATCGCTGCATAATCAAATTTACATTTTATTATTTTATTATTTTATTTTATGTGTATGAGTGTATTAAGTGCATGTATGTAAATCACCTGTTGTTCAATGCCTGTGGAGGATAGAATGTGGCATTGGATCCCCTGGAACTGGAATTATAGTTTTTAGCCATTATGTGGACACTGAGAGTTGAACCCAGGTCCTCTGAAAGAGCAGTCAGTGCTCTTAACAGTTGAGCCATCTCTCTAGCCTCACAACTTAGGTTTTTTTAAAAAAAAATAAAATTTAAAAATATTTTATTTTTTGTGTATGAGTGCCTGTGTATTTGTGCCTGCATGTAAGTGCATCCATGTCATGCAATGCCTGTGCATCAGAAGAAGGTGTCAGATTGCCCTGGAACTGAGTTACAGATGGTTGTTAGCCACCATGTGGGTGCTAGAAATCGAACTAGGGTCCTTTGCAAGAGAAGCCAGTGCTCTTAACCACTAAACCATGTCTCTAGCCCCACAACCTAGGTTTTGAACTTGATTTTAAATACTATTTTCTTGGAAGAAAAAAAGTATTAGTTGGGAATGAGTTTGCAATGACCCCTCTTGCCAGTAAGACCCTCCGCCAATTTTGTAGTCCCATAAGAAAAACAAAAGAATATTAGAGCTAACCAATGATATGATTTTGTTCCTTTATGGGCCGTTTGAACATTTCTAAATACCAAGTGTCACAGTCTGGCATTCTTTGTAAACAGAAAGTGAAGCAATGACAAATTATGCAAGTGATTTAGCCATACTTTTAACATAAACAACAGTAACAGGAGCTCAGACAGGATAATTTGACATTGTAAGAATTTCCATAATGGCCTTCATAAAATAAACAAGAACTGGGCTAGAGACATGGCTCCACAGTTAAGAGTGCTTGCTGCTCTTGGGCTAGAGAAATGGATCCGCTGTTACTAGCACTAGCTGCTCTTTCAGAAAACATGGGTTCAGCTCCCAGAACCCAATGGCAGCTCACAACAGTTCCAGAGAACCTGACACCCTCTTCTGGCCTCTGTGGGCACTACGTGCACATGGTTCACTTACATACATGCAAACAAAACACTCAAACACATAAGAAATAAAAATAAATTGGGACTGGAGAAATGGCTCAGCAGATAAAAGCACTCGCTGCTCTTGCAGAAGACACAGGTTCAAACCCCGGCACCCACATTTAGCATATGCAAATACTTGAAGCTGCTATTGGGATCCTCCTGCAGCAAAGTCCTTTCTTTCTTATTGTTACTTTAGTGTTAACCATCTTACCATACACTCCAACAAACCATTTTTTCAGCTCTCCAAAACCTTCAGGGTATTGAAGGAAGCCAGACTAGTGATGACTAGATTGTGCTACCATTCTGGATGCCAGAAGGAAGTGTAACCTAAAACAAGTCATGAAGAGTTAGCCTTCCGAAGAAAAGCCAAGAATGCCCCAAATGGAGGATCTTGCCAACTGGGATAGAGTTGGGTAGACGGACCACCCTGTGAGATTGTCAATTAATAACTTCTTCACATGGTTATGACTTTCCCCTACCCTGGTTCCGAAAATAAAAGTAATTTCCATTGCAACGTTTGATGACTCACATTTTCAAGAACCCTACATAAGGTAGGTCGCCAGACGCCAATTGTTTTGCAATAACTTTCTATTAACACGAGCTGTGAAATGTAGCTTTATCTGTGTCAGTACTTCATAGTCATCCAAAAGGTGAGTACGGTGAAGAGAAATGGGGACAGGGCGGAGCTGTCAGGGCGAGTGGGAACTGCGCCAAAGGCGGTGGCAACAAGAGACCCGCTAGGGTAAAGGCTAGGCAGGCGGCCCGCACTGCGCAGGCGCCACTAGGCAAGAACACCGGAAGTGAGACTGGGGCCTGGTGGGGAGACGAACGTGCCGGGGAGTAGGCGCTGGGGGCTGGGCTTCGGGAAGGGGCGCGGCACTCGCACCATGCGGTCCAATTTCTACTTGGCTCGCCCGCGGTTCAGCCGGCTGGGTCAGGTGCGGATGGGGGAGGAGCCTGCCCTTCCCAGTACCGGCTCAGTCCCGCACGACCGGGTTGCCCCTTCAGACTCCTCAGAGCTCCTCCCCTAGCAAAACCGTCACCCGGCCCCGCCCCATTATCTGGCCCCGCCCTCAGGCCCGCTTCCGACCCCGCCTGCCCTGTCCCGCCCC